GATTCTTTTATACCGCCCAGCTATGGTAACATTGGGTTTTGCCACATTGGTCTTGATAGGCGCGTCATATCTTCTAAAGAAAAGCATCAATTACCGGAGGGTATGTGTCACAGTCAAGACTTGCGGGGTAAATTGCCCAGTATTTCAATGTATTTCACACGGAAATAATGAATTATACAAATTATGAAGTTTAGTCTAGATTCCCACTGGGGGATGGAGGTGGGTTTGACAGATGAATTGGGAAATGTGCATATATAGAAACCATTGAATGAACCAATAGCATGATGGCTGGTTTCTATTACTCATTTAATTAAACATGATTAATCAGGGGCTGATGTAGGGGGATGCAAGTCTGGATGGATTCCGGGGGGGCTTCTTCGAAGCTGAAAAGATGAATTTTGCCACTTAGAAGCTCTTAGAAGCAGAAGGGTTCTAAGAAGCTAAACATACAATTTAAATCAGAAAGAAAACTTATCTTCTAAGAAGGCCTCTACTTCTAAGAGGCTGCTTCTAAGAAGCAAAACCCTTCTAAGAAGCCCATGCAGCTTCTAAGTGCTTCCGCGAAGCAAAAAACGCATCCATCCCGCGTTCCCACCAGAACTGCGTCCCCTTAGGTTGGGCCCTCAATTAAGGTTGATTTTCACAAAGCAACCTAAAGCAACCCAATTCCAGACCATGCGACTGACAGAATAAAAACCAAAGTCTGTCTATCAGCCTTCTGTCAACATGCATGTTGCATGTTGTATCTGTTGTATGTTGTATCTAACGAGCTTCCTAGCTACCTACTTTCCTACTCCTCTAGTTTACCCTAGTCTAGTCTATCATGCGAGTATAGTTCACCTTATTTTGCCTGATGTTATATATAATACACCTTATTCTCACCTCAATCTACGTACCTATCGATCTATCTATCCATCTATTTATCTATCTATCTATCTAATCTAATCTAATTTCATCTAATCTAATCTAATCGAACCTAAATCTAATCTAATCTAACCTAATCTAATCTAATCTATCTAATCTATCTATCTATCTATCTATTTATCTATCTCTCTCTCTATCTCTCTTTCATCTGTCTATCTGTCTAGCTGTCTACCTGTCTATCTATCTATCTATCTATCTACCTATCTATCTATCTATCTATCTACCTATCTATCTATCTATCTATCTATCTATCTATCTATCTATCTATCTATCTACAGTATCTACAGTATCTACAGTATCTACAGTATCTATCTGTCTATCTGTCTATCTGTCTAATCTATCTAATCTATCTAATCTAAATCTAATCTATCTAATCTAAATCTAATCTATCTAATCTATCTAATCTATCTAATCTATCTAATCTATCTAATCTATCTAATCTATCTAATCTATCTATCTATCTATCTATCTATCTGTGTGTCTGTCTGTCTGTCTGTCTATCTGTCTATCTGTCTACTATCTGTCTATCTGTCTATCTGTCTATTTGTCTATCTGTCTATCTGTCTATCTCTCTATCTCTCTATCTGTAGTGTAATGTAGTGTAGTGTAGCGGAGTGTAGTGGAATGTAGCGTAGTGTAGTGTAATGTAGTGAAGTGTAGTGGAAGGTAGTGTAGTGTAATGTAGTGTAGCGGAGTGTAGTGGAATGTAGTGTAGTGTAGTGTAATGTAGTGAAGTGTAGTGTAATGTAGTGTAGTGTAATGTAGTGTAGTGGAGTGTAGCGTAGTGTAATGTAGTGTCGTGTAATGTAGTGTAGTGGAGTGTAGTGGAGTGTAGTTGTGTAGTCGTAGTTGTAGTTGTTGTGTAGTGGAGTGTAGTGTAGTGTAGTGCAATGTAGTGAAGTGTAGTGGAAGGTAGTGTAGTGGAGTGTAGTGTAGTGTAATGTAGTGTAGTGGAGTGTAGTGTAATGTAGTGTAGTGAAGCGAAGCGACGCGACATCTGAACCTCCAAAAGTGGTCCAAAACCCTGGTGTTTTGTACATTTTGACTTCGAAATGTGCTTCGCGCCACAACGGCGTGCACTTTTTCGACATCTGAACCTCCAAAAGTGGCGCGAACATGTGGTGTCTTGATGTGTTTTGTACATATTGACTTCGAAATGTGCTTCGCGCCACAACGGCGTGCACGTTTTCAACATCTCAACTTCCAAAAGTTGTCAGAACGTGGTGTGTTTTGTACATTTTGACTTGGAAATTTGCTTCACGCCACAACGGTGTGCACTTTTTCGACATCTCAACTGCCAAAAGTGGTCTGAACGTGGTGTGTTTTGTACATTTTGACTTGGAAATGTGCTTCGCGCCACAACGGCGTGCACTTTTTCGACATCTCAACTGCCAAAAGTGGTCCGCACCCCTAGTGTTTTTAACATTTTGACTTGGAAACGCGCTTCGCGCCACAACGGCGTGCATTTTTCATCTCTCCCCTGGCCAGCTGGCTCCGCACCCGCCGCTTTAGCGAGCCTACTTTTCGACCCTCCGGAGCCACAAATCATTAGAAAAACACAGTGAATCGCGACTTTCCTACCTTTTCGCGCATCTCGATCTTCTTTCTTCCAATCTTTCTCTTCTCTCTGCCTCTTCCCTGCTCTGCTTTTCATCCGTCCATATTGTCGGAAGTTTGACTTCTAAACTTCCTTCGATTAAGGGATATTGGTTAATACTGGTTAATTATGGTTAATGAGATAACTGCTTGGTGCTTTGGAACCATGGAATTTTATGACATTCCATATATTGTGAATGATATGAATAAAAATCCCAACTGACGAACTCATATTGTTCAGGGGGGTAGGTCAACCACCAACCAGCTAATGTTGGATTTACCCAATGCCATAAACCATAAACCTACGCACCCATGTGGGGATTCTTTTATACCGCCCAGCTATGGTAACATTGGGTTTTGCCACATTGGTCTTGATAGGCGCGTCATATCTTCTAAAGAAAAGCATCAATTACCGGAGGGTATGTGTCACAGTCAAGACTTGCGGGGTAAATTGCCCAGTATTTCAATGTATTTCACACGGAAATAATGAATTATACAAATTATGAAGTTTAGTCTAGATTCCCACTGGGGGATGGAGGTGGGTTTGACAGATGAATTGGGAAATGTGCATATATAGAAACCATTGAATGAACCAATAGCATGATGGCTGGTTTCTATTACTCATTTAATTAAACATGATTAAGGTTGATTTTCACAAAGCAACCTAAAGCAACCCAATTCCAGACCATGCGACTGACAGAATAAAAACCAAAGTCTGTCTATCAGCCTTCTGTCAACATGCATGTTGCATGTTGTATCTGTTGTATGTTGTATCTAACGAGCTTCCTAGCTACCTACTTTCCTACTCCTCTAGTTTACCCTAGTCTAGTCTATCATGCGAGTATAGTTCACCTTATTTTGCCTGATGTTATATATAATACACCTTATTCTCACCTCAATCTACGTACCTATCGATCTATCTATCCATCTATTTATCTATCTATCTATCTAATCTAATCTAATTTCATCTAATCTAATCTAATCGAACCTAATCTAATCTAATCTAATCTAATCTAATCTAATCTATCTAATCTATCTATCTATCTATCTATTTATCTATCTCTCTCTCTATCTCTCTTTCATCTGTCTATCTGTCTAGCTGTCTACCTGTCTATCTATCTATCTATCTACCTATCTATCTATCTATCTACCTATCTATCCATCTATCTATCTATCTATCTGCAGTATCTACAGTATCTATCTGTCTATCTGTCTATCTGTCTAATCTATCTAATCTATCTAATCTAAATCTAATCTATCTAATCTAAATCTAATCTATCTAATCTAAATCTAATCTATCTAATCTAAATCTAATCTATCTAATCTATCTAATCTATCTAATCTATCTAACCTATCTAATCTGTCTAATCTGTCTATCTATCTTTCCATTTATTTATCTTTCTATCTATCTATCTTTCTATCTCTCTATCCTATATCTATCTATCTATCTTTCTTTCTTTCTTTCTTTCTTTCTTTCTATCTCTCTATCCTATATCTATCTATCTATCTATCTATCTATCTATCTATCTATCCTATATCTATCTATCTATCCATCTATCTATCTATCTATCTACCTATCTACCTATCTACCTATCTACCTATCTACCTATCTACCTATCTACCCATCTATCCATCTATCTATCTATCTATCTGTCTACCTATCTATCTATCTATCTTTCTATCTATCTATCTATCTCTCTCTCTCTCTCTTTCATCTGTCTATCTGTCTAGCTGTCTACCTGTCTATCTATCTATCTATCTATCAATCTATCTACATACAGTATCTATCTACAGTATCTATCTACAGTATCTATCTACAGTATCTATCTACAGTATCTATCTACAGTATCTATCTATCTATCTATCTATCTTTCTTTCTTTCTTTCTTTCTTTCCGTCCATCCATCTATCAATCAACCACATTTAATCATCTACATATTTTTTGGAGCGTGTGAACATTCAGCTGCACGAGCCAGGCAAGATACAGAATGAAAGCTCACAGATTGTGTATTGAATCTTCAGGTGGTGCTGATCTACTCTGACTGCTGCCAGAACTCTGCAATAACATGTTGTTTTTCCCCACACATTTATGTGGCGTTCTTGTTTTTTTTTCTGTATCCCGTTCGCTGTTTGTCAGCCGTCCGCTCCTTGTCCTTCTTTCACACACACACAACATTGTCATACACGCAACATCACACAACATTGTCGCACACAACTCTTTCACACAGACAACTTTGTCACACACAACCCTTTCACATGCAACTTTGTCACGCACAACTCTTCAGAGACTTTCACAGACACAACTCTCTCACACACAAGTGGTGACAGCGACGCTCCTTTTGCGTGGCCACGTGGCGGAGGCGTGTCATTTGGTGATATGGATGCTCATTTTGTGTGGCAGGCGTGGCATTTGGTGACATTGATGCTCGCTTGGCGTGGCAGGTATGGCACTTGGCGACGCTGATGATAGTTTTCTGTGGCAGGAGGCGTGGCACTCACGGCACTGGGCTGGGTCCGGGGGCGCCACAAAACTTTCACATACAACTCTTTCACACGCTCTTTTACGGGCACACACACACAACTCTTTCCACACCACTCCTTCACACGCAACATTGTGACACACAACACAACTCTTTTACACACAACTCTTTGACACAAAACTCTTTTGCCCATATCTCTTACACACAAACCGAAACACACAAACTTGAACACACGGCACTTTCACACACAACATTGTGACGCACCACTCTTTCACACACAGCCATTCGCACAGAACTCCTTCACACACAATATATTGTCACACACAACTCTTTACACACAACACTTTCACACAAAACTCTTTTGCCCACATCCCTTTCACAACCAACTCTTTCACAAACAACTTTGTCACATAATACAACCCTTTCACACACAACTCTGTCACACGCTCACAACTATGTCACACACTCACAACTCTGTCACACACTGCTCTTTCACACAATCTGTATCCCACCATCTCCTTTCTCTTTCATGCCTTCCCCATCCCATTTTCACATATGTTGTGTGTTTTTGAAGAAGTTGACATGTGGGGTTGTCCGGTCCTTTAACTTACTATATATATTATATTGTTATCAACTAGCTACATATCGAACGATCCACCTGTATATATCCGTCTATCCATCTATCCCTCTATCCTCTATCCCTCTATCCCTCTATCCATCTATCCATCTATGCATCTATCTATCTATCTATCTAGCTATCTATCTGTCTATCTATCTATCTATCCATCTATCCATCCATCTATCTATCTATCTATCTGCATGGCTAAAACTATACATAAGCACTATTTTAAAATATCTATATTAGCAAAGTGGTAACATAACTTTTATGACTATAATAGGTCACTATTGTAACTTATTTTACCTGGGATTTTAACTTAACTACGATAATATAATATCCGCTGCCCCAAATCCCAGGTGACTTTGTGCCTCTTCCTGGTGCGGCGCCTTCCCTCGCACGGCTTCGATCTGCGTCGCTTGGACAGCGGCGAAGCGACAGCGGAGGAAGCGGCCCAGGTGGTTTCTTGGAAGCGATCCAGGGGAAGCCGCAGATACTGTATATAGATAGATATCTATGTATAGACATACGTGTGTATTTACATTATTTTTATGTATTTATTTATATATATATATGTGTGTGTGTGCGTGTGTGTTTAGTTACGATCACTCTAGATACACACACATACATATACATATGTATATATACACATGTAAATGAGTGCCTACAATACATATATATATATATGTGAGTATATATATATATATACATATTTTTTCATGGATGTGTGTAGAGATGTGTTATATATATATATATACATGTGTGTGTGCGTGTCATACAATATCTATGAACTATATGTGCATACATTCATGTTATTAACATATTTTCAAAGATTTGAAGGTCCCTACGCTCAGGTGGCAGAGGCGCTGAAACTGAACGACGAACGACGACAGAAGTGGTCCGGCTGGTACCAGGAGGTGGAGAGCTGGAAGAGGCCCGGACCCTCCGGGCCCGGGTGATGAAGTGTCTTGGGAGATCTGAGATCTGGGGGTTAAGCCAGATTTCTAATAGGTTAAGCATGGTTAAACCCTAAAAAAAAAAATAGTGTTTATCTCCCTTAGAGAGTTACCGTTTGAGGATACCCCCAATGTATAAAATTATATGTGTTGCTGTTTTTCTGCATGTGTTTACATGTTCGTTTTTGGCCGGGGATCATGTCAAAAACAGGCCACTGGGATCCAGTTCGAAATCCATTTCCTTCCACGGGACTGATGTGGTAACCATCCAAGTGTTTGTTAGTTGCACCTCGCCCCTGGTGATAAAGTCAGGTGTGGTTTGGTATTGGATTTATGACACTACCATTGCTTGAATCGTCTTGGAAAGCACTCCGGAGGGGCCCCAACTAGCTCTGGAAGTTGTCCTCATGGGATTTTTCCCGGAATCTTTTCGGATGCGTGTGAGATTTAGCCCAATTTCAAATTCATTTTTCCACCCATGTTTCCCTCCCATTCTGGTTGGTTTAAGGCAAGAAAACATGCAGGAAACCACTGGACCTGGGGGAAAAAAACAGAAAACATGATTTCCTGAGTAAATGTCCAATCATTTCTTTGCAAAATCCCGTGATTTTGCAGGAACGACTCAGAGGAGGAGCTAGCAATTTTTGAGTCCATCCTCAGCCAACGCCCTGACATTGCAGAAATGCTGGCCTACAAGGCCCGCGACTGATCAGCGGAACCTTTAAATTGAGGGCTGGGTGACATAGGGTTCTTAAAAATGGGTGATCCCCGAGACAATCATACAACTTCAGTGATGAATCGAAAAGAAACACATCTCGAAAATCCAGCTGTTCCAGCTGTTCCAGCTGTTCCATTGGTTTCTACAGGGGTTCATGGTTTCCAGTATGGTCTTTCCACCAGAGATTTTGGTCCGTTCGCAGCAGGAGAACGAAGAGCAACGTTTGGAGCAGGATATTCAGAGCTTTGAAGCCTGGGTAAACTGAACAACGCTTGTTTTTTTTTTTTTTTCGAAAACTAGCTGGGAAACACCCTTTTCTCAATGTTTTTTGTTTTTAATGGAAACATATGGAAACATCATTTATATGACTTTAAGATATTTTTAACAAGTCTTAACCCACAAAAATTGATCGATTTCTGGAATTTATCCAAGAAAATGTGGTTTTACATGGTTTCCCTGTTTTTGTGTTTTAATAAACATACTCCCAACCAAGAAATTGAACGGAAATGGGTCAAGACATTTAAGACATATATATATTTAATTCTATATATATATATAATTATATATATATAATTATATATATATATATTATTATATAACATTATTATTATTAATTATTATTATTATATATGTATATAGTGTTATACATACATATATATATATATATATATATATCATATTTATCGGTATTTTACGGGGGTGAACAGAGATGATCCAGGTGAACATACATGGCGCCATGTTTCACCAGCCGGTGATCAACCAGCAACCAGCGCCTAGGAATTAAAGATGCACCAGGCCTACCCAAAGCCGGAGTTCTACCAAGGGCGAATCAACAACTTGAAGGACTGCCGCCAAGGGCCTCAAGGGGTTTACCCTCTGGTAATTTAACGTAGCTATTGAAAATTGCCATTTAGAGTTTATTTTCCCATTAAACATTGCCATTTTCAGTAGCTATGTTAAATTACCAGAGGGTATGACTCCAAGAACTGTTAGGTTCATTTATGGTAGATATATATCGAACTAGTTCATGGCCTTGTAAAAAGCAAAACTGTGGGGGTTCAGCTTGCGTACATCCATGTCGTGGGAATCAAGGTCATTTTTGTGAGCCCCTTTAATTACCATAAGATTGCTGTGTCCTGGATGCAGTTGCAAGCTTTCTTCAGGTGTAATTTTGCAGGCATGGAAGGTGGACAAAAACCAGGCAGCAGATATATCTGGTGAGCCAACTTGGTGATTCCTAGTGTCGCTTTGGATTGCTGGGGTTAACCCTTTTTTCTGATGATGAACTCCACTTTTGATCAAGATTCCCATTTGTCATAATTGAATCCCCATTTTGGATGGCTTAGCGGTGGCCGTGCTCCCTTCGAAAACACCATCTGTGGTGCAACCCATCGATCCATGCAGAACCCCAGCAAAAGAAAAGACATATTTTGTTTCTGGATGCTCTGGATTCTGGGTGAATTGAATTGTTCAAGTGTTCTTCATAGTTTTCAATCTTACCCTGCATCTGCTTTTGGGTGCTCTGACTTGGATGTGCATCCCACTACCTAAGTGGGAGGAAACAATATGCTGATATAGATATTTTTATATATAATTTGTAATTCTGGGTGTATGGGATGTGCACCCCTGCAGTAGCAATACACATATACGTGTGTGTATAATATATATATATATTTACATAATTACATTTAAGTATATCAGTGTATATACTACATATATTTATATACAGCTAGTATATTGTCATAGTCATTATGGTAATCATTTACTAACTGGGATGCCCCCCAAAGCACAGCCCAAGCGTGGCAGGACACTTTCCTGCGGCTGCTGGCTGACTACCACCAAACGGTGGCGGGAGAAGCAAGCCGTTAGGATAAAAACCGTCCGTCTTGCGGGGACATTGCTTGGTTTTGTTGGAAGCTTCCCCGCATTCAACAACCAATAGCCGGATTTATCTATATCTATCTATCTATATATCTATCTATTTTTTAATATATTTCATGGTTTATTTTACCAGATGGGGCCCCTTTTCTGAAAAGGACACTTTACCAGTCGGGGGATTTAATCCTATACTTCAGATTGCCATTTCAATGCTGGCGGTGGAATCGTGAAACCTGCTCCTATAAGCCACTAAGCCCGTGGATTTGGAGCGTCCTGAGCAGTCAGCTTTTTCAGACAGCAGTTGTACCCTGAAATTTAGTCCATCAATCCTTGAAAAAAACATGGGAAGCCACTTGGGAAGTGGGCGCCTGTGTTTGGTTGAGCCTCCTGGCATGGCTTGGACCCTCCCAAGCATTCCAAAGATGTTTGGACAGGACATTGCTATGTGCAGAACTATTCCTTTCTTGGTATCCAAAGATTTTTCTGACCATATTCAGTTGAAGTCTGGTGATTTTAAGATTGGTTATATGAAGTTATATCGTTCATCCCTCATGTTGTAGAACCACTAGTGAACCATACCCCACCCAAGTTTGTGTTATGTAATTGTTGGTTAAAAAAGCACTCAAACAAGTGGTTAATATTATTTTAGATTATGTGTGAGGATAAGTCAATACCTATCAAACCACTTGGATTAGCGGTGCGCATTAGTTGGTCCCACAGCATTAGATACCTTGAGGTCATGGAAAAACCTGTAAATAAGCAAATCCGGGAGAAATTTATGGATTTAAATGGGAACTTCCAACCTTTGAAAATGGGACAATCCCTTTTTTAATGGGAATATCTATCAATTGGCGTTTCTTCCATTGCCAGATAGGCCAGATATTGTTGTTTTATTTTTCTTCCTGGAGGTTATCGTTCATCCTTGTCAAGCAGCCTAGCGGGCCTATCTCTAAGCTGCCGGTCCGCTTCAGCCCCAGACCGTGGCAAAGTTCGAGCCAAGCTTTGCAACAAACTCGCCGGGCAACCCATTGGCAGCAGCAGTGCGTTGCATACACGAGGAAATGAACATGACTTTAAAATCTTCAAAGATTCACGGGCATTCATAAATTATGGTATTTTGGGTGCTACATTTTCAGAGAACCTCTTTCTTTTGGGGGTGGACTAGCCTTGAGTTTCTTTGGGACTATAGTGATCTTGACTGGCAGGTGTCAAGCAACTTGGCCGGTGGGGAAGCAATTTAAATACCATAAATTTGCCGTTTCAATCCATTTCCCCAAGTTCGGACCGGGGTTAAACAAATGTGGTTTCCATAGTTTTTGAAGGGCTTCCTTATGAAAGTCTTCAGGTCTTTACAGCCATCCGCAGGCTGAGCAATTGAAGACGATGGGGGATGAACTCGTAAGTCAGGGACTCTCAGCATGCCATGGGATGGCATGGGGGATTGTTTCGTATTCCCAAACGGTGGGGTTCAATACCAACATCATACCCATGACGGATCCATGGTGCTGGTATATATATGCTAACATGACTGGGGTATATTGATGGGATCCATGTTACCATATAGATAGAACCATGGATCCGTCATGGGATATGATTTTGGATGACTTGGGGCCGACTTTAGGCAGCCACAGAAAGTTTGGTGGGATCCATCCGCTGTTTGGAAGTTGAAAGGTCAAAAGTGTGCACAAAAAGATCTGGATTTGGAGGTGTTTGGTGCCCATGGTACCCTCCATTAAACGAAGCTAGCTATGGAAAATGGTGATTGTCTAAAAGATGATGTGCCTGTACCTCCTAAAAACGTTGATTTTCTAACAGCAAACTGTTAGTTTCTCAGAGGATTGTCTTAGATCCTTGTTGTTTCTCCGGCCAAAAATGGCCGATTGCAGTCGGAAGAGATTTTAAATTCCTGTTTGGATACCCCTCCTGATTGGGTCAGATAGGGGGCTTACAGTAACTGGTTTTGTGGTGATGTCTATAGCCCATGAGGGATGCATCAAAATGTTCACGGTCCATCAGATTGGTTTGGTTGAGTTTGCCAGTTCCATAATTTGAGAAGCAGTTCCCATTTTCATCCACCAACAAGCCGATATATCTTGGATGATCTTGGCAGCTAGGAAATATGCCGTCATTAGCTTGCAACCCTATCAAAAGATAATACGTGGCCCAGTTCAAATTAGTATTAAATCACCCAGTTCATAAGTATTTAATGATTTCCTTCCAGAATATTTATATCTATTATATTATATCATATTATATCATATCTTGTCCTATGCTCCCAACTTGGCTCTTATTTTTCAGGTGATCCAACCAATCAGAACATCTCAACTCAAGAATATCATCTCCGCAGTTTTTAGCCTCTGCCTCCCCCAAAAAAATCACACCGCCGCTTTGCCATGTCCCGCCGCGTGCTGCTGCCGTGTGCCCTGCTGGCGCTCGCCGTGCTGGTGCCCTGCTTCGTTGGCGGCGGAACTCGCGGCGGAAACGGCCGGGCGCTGCGGGTGCCGCGAGAAGGGACCGCCGCACCCAAGGCGACCACCGAGACGCCGAAGCCCAAGGAGGAGCCCAAGGAGCCCAAGGAGCCCAAGGCAGAGACACCTAAGTCTGTGGCTTTGGTGCAGGTGACGAAAGAGAAACTTGGAGAATTTGCAGGATCTAAAGGGCTGGATCTTTTTGGCAAATGCCATCCCTCGATCATAAACATTCCCACCAGGTATTGAATCATATTGAATCTGTGCAGTACAGTACCCTGCCATTGGAAGGGAGACATTAAGCAATATGCCTTAATGGGCCATCAAGGTAAACAACAGTGATGGAACGCGCAACCTCGTGATTGGTGGTTTCATTCATTAGGCCCAGAAAAAGGGATGATTTAAGTTTGGATGTTCCGTTTTTGTACATTGTACGTGTTTAGCATGGTGCCCCAACTGCCCCAATGCAGAGCGTGAGATGTTGGTAGCAAAGATGGAAGGGAAGCATTGCAGACGGTCGGTATCTCAGAGACAGGTTCAAAATCATCAGACATGGCAGATGTCATCCACATTCCCGACAGGAGCGAATGTTTGCCAAAGATAGCACACTGATAAACTGCCACAGAACTATGGAACATCACCATTTCAATGGGTAAATCCACTATAAATGGGCCATTTTCAATAGCTATGTTAAATTACCAGAGGGTACTCTATCTAGTCAACGTTTTCCAGCAGTTGGATCATACAATGAGGTGAGTCAAGGGCCAAGGGTATTATTCAGCCTTAAAACAACAGGTGTTTTTGGCGATAAATCAGCCCCTAAAACATCAGCTGCTCCACCAGTCACCAGCCCTGGATATGAATGGGGGTACATCACGAGATACATCACGAGCCCCACAAGGACAATAGGTGCAACAAATCGAGGAAACCAGTGCATTTCAACTGCTCCCTCCGAGCAAGGAACGCGATCTCTCAAGCCGCTCCGGCTTCTCTGAATTCATAATGGCGGAAGAACAATGAAGTTCATTTGGAGTATTTCTTTGATTAAAAAACGTAATTCATATCTTAACGGAACTGCTTTTAAGTATATTTACATATATCTACCTCCCATTTTAGTTCACTTCCTGCATTTCCATATGCCATACATGGAGCATATGGGTATAGATATATATATATATTAACATTAATTATATATATATATTATTAAATAAATAAATAAATATATATATATATATATATACATACATATATATATATATATCATGATTCCATGATATTTCCATGGTGGTTTTCCCGATGTTCAGCCTCCGTCAGGAACGCCATTGCCACCGCGGGCGTCCTAGGAGGCCTCACCGGCCTCCTCTTGGGCGGCTTTTGGATCGGCGCGGCGGGCTTTGTGGCCACCTCCTACCTGGCCAAGAAGGCCTTGGTCGGCTGTCCCCTGTCGATTGCCATAGATACAATGGAACAGTATGGAACCCAACAGTTGAGACATATTTGATGTGAAACTTTTTTGATTTTTTGATAGAATATGGTTCTTTGGGAAATTTGATTCTGTTTCAGGGTCTGAAATTCTGGCGGGTGTAGGTCTATAAGTTTACTTTTAACTCGTGTTCATAGGTAGGGCTTATGGGAATTCTTGGCTGTAGTTAGGTTGGCTTATAAACCAACAGACATCACTGTGGGCACCACGTGATGGGGTGTTTTTTCGGGATGGGGATGGGAGGTAGGATGTTCGTATGGGTCTACAGATAAGAAACTACTGTACATGTATATCTTGCTGTAGTTGATATATGTGGGATGTGGGATAGATATGGGAAAGGCCTGGAAAGCCACAATGATAGGACACCATTCCCATGAACTGAGCGAAGAAATCGGGCATTCCATGGCACTCCCAATGATTGTTGAAGCCTTGGGCCCCCATGGCTACATGGACATGCTACTGGAAATCATGGCGAGCCCCCAGAAACTCATGAGTGTCTATATCTATCTATCTATCTATCTATCTGTCTATCTATGTATCTATCTACCTATCTATCTATCTATCTATATATATATATATACATTGAGGGATGTATGTATATACATGCAAATATTGTCTTTATTCCTAGGTGTACACTCATACATATACATATGCATGCATCCATGCATCCATCCATCCATCCATCCATCCATCCATCCATCCATCCATCCATCCACATTTACATATACATATATATATATATACATTCGCATATACATATACATACATATACATTTTTACAGTTTATATACACACCTATAGACATAGACATACACATATATTCATACACACACATATATATATATATATATGTATATATGTATATATGTATAATGTTGTATTTATTTATTCCTGTTTTTGTGATTTTAATGTGCGTACTATGCAACAGGACTACTGGCTTCATCTGTGTCGAGTAGCAGTGGCAAAATCGCCGCAGGACGACGACGTCTCCGCGGTTCTGAAGGGTGTATCTTCCGCGTCCTTGGAGGCCTTGAATTATGTGGACTCCCTGAACAAGAAGTATGAAGCTTTCACGATTTGGACTGGATTTTTACTGGGATTTTCACTGAAATTTTGAAGGATTTGGTAGGATTTGATGGGTGCTGTAGTCCCTGAAAAAGAATATCTACCGTAAATTGGGATTCTTTTCTGGGGGGGTTTTGTTGAAATTGTGTTCCAGTGGCGGTTGTTCATGATTGTTCCAATTTGTTCCGAGTCCGATTACCATTCCTATCCCATAGGATCCATGTATGCTATATATGATGACATTTACCATCAATATACCCCAAAATGTTAGCATATATACCATACATGGATCCTATGGGTATTTTAACAGGATTGATTCAACCCACTTTCTGACGGTTTGCGCCGCCATGGGATAGCCAGAAATCCAGTGGTTTATCATGCTGCTTCCCATGAAAAAGGCTAGTAACTGGGTAACTCTTCTTTGTTTTTCTCAAAACCAAACCTGACACATGTCATAGACAGACGTTGTGCTGTGAGGATCATGCATAGTCTCAGGGGTCCTTGTGGATGTGTGAGTTGAATCGTCACTTGTAGCGACCTTAGAGGCCGACCTTTTTTCGGATGGCTGACCGCAGTATGGAGAACCCACAACTGACGGATTGATCTTTTTCAAACTTGCTGACTCTCTGGTAAACTAGACTATGGAAAATCTCATAAATGGGCTATTTTCCATAGCTATGTTAGTTTACCAGAGGGTAATTGTCATAGTTTATCCTGGAGAACACGCAAACTTTCACTTGGACATTTGATTTTTTTTGATGGTTGAATAGGTGTCATTCCAGGCATGAAGAGCATTTGTGCCCTAGTAAACGGGAATCTGACAATGCCGCAAATTTGTTCATTCCCCTAGTTGAAAGTTCAGGGTTGCAACTTGTTCTTGGTGAATTATAACGGCCCTTCTCGACGTTGTTGCATACGATGGTTAGTAGGGCGAACGGGGAACTTTGCAAGCATTACAGTTATTCCATGGATCCTATGGGTGATCCTATGATTCATTCAAATTTGATTGTTTAAGCCACTCCCGTTTTAATCTACAGCCAGCCTAGGAAGTCACCGACAAAGTCGGCGGAGCATTGTCCGGCGCACTGGACATGCGCTTGTCGTTTTTTTTTGGGGGGGGTGCGCTGTGTCACCGGGAGCGCCTGGAAAAACATGGAAAAATGAGTGGCAGTTCCCTGCCATGCTTGTCCTCATAGCCAGATGTGTTTGGGAAATTCAGAGCCAGGTAGCCAGGTATGGGGCGCTTTACCAAAGAGGCCTCTCGCACTATACATACCCCTACATATACATACCCAAACCTTCAGAATAACCATCGCAAACAGATAAAAAGGGTTCATCTTACAACATGTCAAAATGTTTGAAAACCGATGCATTTGTAACTCTAAAGTTGCGTTCCTTGTTTTAACCCACAATCTTATTACTTGTTTACCGGGTTTTTGGATTATGTAGTGACACTATATTTGCATACACATCACTTCTTTAATATATGCACACATCGCATTTGCATATGTATATCTAAAGATATGTATGACATATTTAGTGAGCCCCCCCCCAAAAAAAAAATGTTTCATTCATCTAGGATTTTCTGTTTTGTTATCTTTCTTGGGGTTTACTATATCTATATGTATATTTACACTTGTAAACATAGTTTAGTATCTGTACACACATGTAATCATTATATGAATAAATAAACAAATATATATATATATATTTACATATGTATACTATTTTATATTGATATATATATAGATTTGTATGTATCCTTAGTTATCCCATTCTAAAGACTGGAGCTCCGTTGCCGCGATCTCCTTTTGCAGGACTCCACGGAAGGCGAGACCTCGTCCTCGGTGAAGTCCGCCTTGAGCATCTTGGCACAGGGCGATCCGAGATCCCAGAAACCATGGTGGATGTAGGGAAAATTTCTGGGATATTGGGATATTATTGGAATATGTCCATCATATTTACTGGGATAATTTCTGGGATATTGGGATATGATTGGAATACGCTGGGTGGAAGAAATCCTGCACCAGTTGAAAACGGTACGGTAAACATCCCATTATTCATATAGGGTTTCAACCATCCTTTTGGTGGTGCAGGATTTCGCAACCATCCACAGTATGTCCATCGATTATAGATACCAATTCATATTTCCTGGGATAATTTTCTGGGATTTATGGAATTATAGAAGATTTGGATATTATTGGAATTAGTGAATTGGTGGAATATTGGAATATTTATGGACATGTTTGTCGATTATTGGGATATAATGGATTTATGGAATACCAACAAAAATCATAAAAAACTTGTATATACTGGGATATACTGGGAATCTAATCATTAAATGACGTGGATGGTTGCAAAATTCCAATCACCAGTTGGCAGGTTCTTGATAGATGGACAAAATCCCACTGTAATCCCATGAAATTTACAGTGTTGAATTACGTACGTTACTAATATTTACCAACTGGTGCGGGATCTCTTCCATCCACTGTATTAAGGAAGTGTTGATATGAATTGGGGATGGGATTAAGATGGAAGTGACAAAGATAAGGATTGGATTTGCTGGGCATATTCTAGAGAATCTTCCCCGGATATTACTTTTTTGAATCATCAATCATTAGTAAAATGATCCATGATTGATCCAGATCCATGATAAGATCCGTGATTCATGATGACATCAATCATTATTAGTAAACGTCATCATCAATCATAGATTCAGAATGATCCATGATTATCCATGATTTGGAATCAATGCCACTCAAGGCCTGCCGAACCTTGCATGTCAGTTTTTTTGCCGCAGAGAATGTGCCCAGTCATGCGGATCATGAACAGCCACACCGATTATTGTATGCTGATGTCATTGCCAATGCCAGAAGGAAACAACAAGACATGCTGTATGATTGATTTATGTGGTATAATTATGTATCATTGGTACTCATCCATCCAAATTTTGGGAAGACGGTCGATGGTCGACTCGTGGTGTCACATCGTGCCCGGGGTATTGCTTCAATGCGTTGAAACCATCCGGCCCATACTTCTTCAAAATAAGCGACTCCGAAGGAGAGGTAGCTCGCATGGAGTTCAAACTCTATAAGACCCATGGACTTGCAGGTGACATTGTCATTTGGGAATCTGATACTACCCCAATTGCCTGACCCAAAAATGGTGGCAATTCTGATACGGAAAGCTAACACAGAAGTTGAGACTGCTACTGCTACAGATTGGATCAGGATACCAGCGAGTCCGTCAGTTCGACAGTTGGTCAAGTGAGTGGGCACCCCCAAAGCGCCTGCCAAAAAGTAAGCAATAAAACATATACCTAGACCCTCCGTGTGTACCCATAAGAATTGTGTTTTTACCCGATAAGTTTAGCACTTTTTCCCCAAACATTGTGGCCACACTGAAGGGGTTCTTACGGTAAGTGTTAAGGCCCGGTGTTCAATCGAGGTGGTATCGGTCGCGTTTGGCATTTTCCCTGTAAATTTCTGTGCAAAATGCCTCTTGTGACCTGTCCATGTGCATTTTGTGCATTTCGACTGCGCAGGCTCGCACAAAATGCTTGCCGCGGGATACGGATACAGCATTTTCCCTGCAAATTTCCGCACAAAATGACTCTTGTGACATGCCCATGTGCATTTCGCCTGCGCGGGCTCGCACAGGATGCTTGCCCCGGGATTAGCGTCCGGCATTTTCCCTGTAAATTTCCGCACAAAATGCCTCTTGTGACGTGTCCATGTGAATTTCGACTGCGCAGGCTCGCACAAAGTGTGCTTCCCGCTCTTGGGATCGGTCTTCCTCCTCAACATCCTCCTCCTCAACATCATCATCTTCCTCCTCCTCAACATCCACATCATCATCTTCCTCTCCTCCTCCTCCTCCTCATCATCATCATCACCATCACCATCACCATCATCATCATCATCATCGTCGTCATCATCACCATCTTCCTATCATCATCATCATCATCATCGTCATCATCATCATCATCATCAACACTCATCATCATCAACACTCATCATCATCCTCATCATCATCATCATCATCAACATCAACAACACTCATTATCATCATCATCAACATCATCATCACCATCAGCAGCATCATCTTCATCATTTTAATGAACATGATAATACATTCTCCTTTTACTCCCTGCCACACTCTTTTGGGGTCTTTTGCCATTTTTTCAGGGTATCTGGAGAGCCTAGGTAGGCATACTACATTATGTAGAACAGGCTTGTACATAATAGACTGTTTGTATATATATATATATAGAATAGATTTCATAAATACCATAAAGGTTTATATATATATATATATACAGTATATACATATTGAAATAAACACGAATAAAATAAGAAAACATATTATCAATAGCTGATTTAAGCAGATGTTACTTTGCCAAGGGGCCTACGTTGTTTTGTTTTAAACGGCCCAGGCTCGGCGAAAGAAGCCATTGACAGCTTTGACAAGGAGATGGGAATGGTGAGACAATTTGGCCATTGGGATTTCAATAATGTGAGTAAAACAATGTCATAAACCAACCATTTGGGAATTGGTTTAAACCTATACAAACAGTGATTTGGGCGATTGTTTATTATTGTTTTATATTCTTTTACCCACATTGTTACAAAGGTTTTCAGTTGCCCATGGTTGTCCGGTGATATGGCCAAATACCAGGGGAAATCTTAATTATTTCAAAGGATGTGTTCAGAGGTTGGGTTGTTGACATTTTTTAAGCATCATAGAAGTAAATATTTCGAAAATTATCAGCAACCATTATATTTATAATGGTCAAAAATCAAATCATCAACCCATGTTTGGAATCTGGCCGATCAGAATTTGGTTGATGGTTTGATGAATATGTGGCCGTTCATTGATTAGATTATTCGTCAAAAATCAAATCATCAACCCATGTTTGGAATCTGGCCGATCAGAATTTGGTTGATGGTTTGATGAATATGTGGCCGTTCATTGATTAGATTATTCAATACCATCAACAATCGACAATGGGGTTAATGATGGTTCATGGTCACCAAGTTTGGGCCTAATTGGGTGTTATTTGGCTGGTGATTTTTAATCCACCATCATTCACCATCAATATTGGGATGAATTACCAACAGTCATGGGGACCAACCTAAACATGTTTGAGCAGACATGACATATCTATTGTTGATTTACTGGAGGGTGCCCTGTAGTAATCAAACATGGCAATAGGTAATTCTCGTGTGGCATGTGCAGATGAATTACTAATTAAAACCTCCGTTTATAGTTTATGGTGGATGTCCCATTTTGTGGTTTGCAACTTGAAATTCATCATAGTTCATCCCAGTTGAGTGAGCTGCCTCAGATGGAAAAACAAAAACATACAGTGCTTCTGCGGCGGTGAAACCTGAATTACAACAAGGTTGACATCCATTTGTGCATGGTCAATTTTACCCCTCCAGTAAACTAACATAGTTATGGAAAATGTCCATATTCAATATGTAAATTTACTATCTATACCATAGCTATGTTAGTTTAGCAGAGGGTACCGCTCACACCTCGAAGTGCTAATTGGAATCATGACCTCTGTGTCTGTGTGTGTCATCTCAGATGGCCTGGGGGAATGTGGCCTGTGGAGGTTTAGAGTGGTCACATGTGGTCACCATCCCCACAAACGGCCATTTCACTGCAGCTTTGTGAGCTGAAATCCATGTGTAATATTTTTAAATCCACTGAAATCCACTCTTTCTAGACTTGTCACAGTCCAATGACAAATCGCTGGTGACATGTTGCAGGATATCGGTATCAAATCGACCTTGGGAGGTTTGGTGCTCGCTGGTGTCTTGTTTGATCCAACTGATCATCGCTCAGCTGCAGGATTGACCTTGCCAGTCTTGCAGAGTAGGTTACCCTCTGGTTATTTAACATAGCCAAGGAAAATGGCCCATAAAAATAGATGATTTTCCCAGCTATAAACTTCCATTTAAAAGGGGTTTCCCATGGCTAGGTTAGTCATATCCAGATGGTAATATTTTTTGTTGAGCTACACAGCTACACATGAGAAAATATGCCTGGGTCAAACGTTTGGGGGTGGATGGACCGATGGAGTCTTGTGTGCTAGACATGTGTTGGCAATCTTTGGAGCTTGTCATATCTAGTCATATCTAACAGCTAACAGGGTGAGGATGGGCCGAAAAGTGGACATGGATTTAAGTTGGATATGGGGGGCATGACTTTGTAGCAGTTGTTTTTTTTTTAATCTGGTTTGATTTTGTTCTGTAGCAACAAACCCGGATCATATTCGGATCATTATATATATATATGTGTGTGTATACACTTAAGAAAAGAGTTTCACTGCGAGACGCTTGCTGTGTGGACCATTAACAATCTGATGATGATTGGGATGCCGCCCCGGATAAATACATTTATGGCAGCTCAAATTTGAAGATTGGTTAAGTGAGTCACTAATCAAACATGGTTCACCATTGTCATTTTTGCTTCTGATTTTTTCTATAGCTTGAATAATGAAAGTATGCATTAATCATATCTTTTACTTTTACTACTTAGGAGTCATGATTTTCTTTTGTTGAGCAACCAGTGGTTTTGTAACCCTTATCACTATACATATATATAATATATACGTATATACATATATATATATATATATATATGTGAATCGTGATAAACAAATGTATTATGTATAAGGTTAGAATGAAATATAATATTTATATAAATATATATATATATAAAATATTCAGGTGCAGTTAGTTGCTAGGGTAGGGTGCATATAAGACCGCAAATCTGCGCCCATAAAAATATTTGTAAATACACATACGGTTTTACCCCATATTATAACTCCAAACACGCACTACTTCGGTATATATATATATATATATGAAGGATATATATAATTAAAGACCATTGCGATATTGCTGTCCTCTCTCACCTTTTTGGAATGGATAGGAAACTCCAAACTCCATCAGGCTGAGGAAAAAATAATCCAACGTTGTGCGCCGATGAGGTTCGGACTTGGCCAGCCAGCTGGCAACCAAGGTGGTGGAGCTCAACAAGGAATACAAGGCGCAACTGGAAACATCGGAAGAACCTGGAAAATCTATAGAAAAACGATGGAAAATGTATGGAATCATGGAATATCATCATTTTTCAGTGGAAGATCTATGGAAAATCTATGGAATATCCTTAGTTTTTAGTGGAAGATCTATGGAGAATCGGTGGAACATCTATGTTCTTACTGGGGCAAGTTTAGATTTTGTGCAAATGATAGGAACATATCATCGTTATATGATCTACTGGGTGATTTTTCCCCATTCAAATCATTCAACTAGTAGATAAACATTTTTGGGTTGAGGATATTGACGATCTGCTATTTTGTTAGCAACCATTTCATGGCAGGGCCCATAAATGTACTGCCTGATTTTGCGGAGTCTGTGATACATACATATATTATATATATATATACATATATATATATGCACATATATATATATGCACATATATATATATATACTGTTAACAGCGCTGGGTGCCCTCGAGTAAACTAATATAGCTATGAAGAAATGACAAATCACATTTTTTAATTTCTTTGGCCATTTTCAATAGTTACGTGAAACTACCAGAGGGTAGTGTTCTTGGTATTTGCGAGTAAATCCTGGGATGACGTGCCAAATGAGAAAACATATATTCCAAGCTCTTTGACAGCAAACAGTTCGTAATTCTACGGGGATTCAGTCATTGCCCCTGGATGATGGATGATATCCTTCTGTTCCCAGCTCCCATGAAACTTGATGCTGGCCTCACCGCAGGTCACAGACCAGATCCAGAGCAAAATCGATGAAGCCGTGGACAAGTCGAAGAGCAAAGCATAATGCTTGCGGCTTGCGGTTTTGATGCCGATTTTTGGCACAGACGTGATTTACAAAACTTCACCATTTTGAGAGATTTGGTGAGGCCAAATCTTGAATAATCCCAAACTTAGGGATTCTCCAACCATGGCTTGAAAGAATAAGATGTCAATGCCAAGTGATTTTTGCGGCAGAGGGAGCAAAATTCTCCTGCAGCGCGATTGCTGAGCTGACATGGTGCAGATGATCTCCATGCAAATGTGGATGTAATTGATGTACCCTCTGGTAAACATACAAAAAGCTATTACAAATGGTCAGAGAAATAGTGGATTTACCCAGCTATAAAAATGGTGATTTTCCATAGTTTTGTGTACGTTTACCAGAGGGTAGCACACCTGAACACCAGACTGCTGTTTTGACTGATAGGCCCTTCATGTCATGCCTCCATTTCATGGGAAACATTCTCCCAAACAGTTGTCATGTGGCTCTAGTTTGCGAATAGCATGACGTGCATAATTGATGTTACTCCATTCCGTCATGTTCCAGTTATGCTATACTTACCGGTTTTTCTTGAGAATCATCCATAGTTGATCACCAATGGCCACCAAGCCAAACAGAACCCCTGTATTGTTTTGAGGTGACAAAGCTTCTGCCTTGGAACGTGTGAATGATGCTCTGACGTCCGGGCCAAGGGGGCTGAAGGAGAACGCGGGTGCCATCCCAGTCGACACATCTCTTGTTTATCGATTCTCTTGATATGAAGGGTAGTTTAATCGAAGGAAGTTTAGAAGTCAAACTTCCGACAATATGGACAGATGAAAAGCAGAGCAGGGAAGATGCAGAGAGAAGAGAAAGATTAGAAGAGAGAAGAGTAGAAGAGAAAGAGTCAGAAGAAAGAAGATACAGATGCGCGAAAAGGTAGGAAAGTCGCGATTCACTGTGTTTTTTCCAATGATTTGTGGCTCCGGAGGGTCGAAAAGTAGGCTCGCTAAAGCGGCGGGTGCGGAGCCAGCTGGCCAGAGGAGAGATGAAAAATTGCACGCCGTTGTGGCGCGAAGCACATTTCCAAGTGAAAATGTACAAAACACACCATTCTCGGACCACTTTTGGAAGTTGAGATGTTGAAAAAGTGCACGCCGTTGTGGCGCGAAGTACATTTCCAAGTCAAAATGCACAAAACACCTCAGCGTCGGACCACTTTTGGAAGTTGCGATGTCGAAAAAGTGCACGCCGTTGTGGCGCGAAGCACATTTCCAAGTCAAAAGTGTTAAAAACTGACGGTCTCGGACCACTTTTGGAAGTTGAGATGTCGAAAAAGTGCACGCCGTTGTGGCGCGAAGCACATTTCCAAGTCAAAAGTGTTAAAAACTAACGGTCTCGGACCACTTTTGGAGGTTCAGATGTCGAAAAAGTGTCGAAAAAGTGCACGCCGTTGTGGCGCGAAGCACATTTCGAAGTCAACAGTGTAAAATACTGAGGGTTTTGAGCCTTTTTTTGACGTGAAGATGTCGAAAAAGTAGACACTGATTAACTTAACTAACTTGACTAACTGAACTAACTTCACTAACTTAACACACAGCAACAACAACAACAACAACAACTACACAACACAACTACAACTACAACTACAACTACAACTACACAACAACTACAACTAGAACTACAACTACAACAACTACAGCTACAACAACAACAACAACAACAACTACTACACACACAACTCAACAACAACAACTACAACTACAACAACAGGAACAACAACAACTACAACTACAACAACTACAACAACAACTACTACTACTACAACTACTACAACTACACTACACAACAACTACAACCACACAACAACTACAGCTACAACTACAACTACAACAACAACAACAACTACAACTACAACTACAACAACTACAACTACAACTACTACAACTACAACAACAACAACAACTACTACTACTACAAACACAACAACAACAACTACTACTACTACAACAACAGGAACAACAACAACTACAACTACAACAACTACAACAACAACAACTACTACTACAACTACTACAACTACACTACACAACAACTACAACCACACAACAACTACAGCTACAACTACAACTACAACAACAAAAACAACAACAACAACTACTACTACTACAAACTACAACTACAACAACAGGAACAACAACAACTACAACTACAACAACTACAACAACAACAACTACTACTACAACTACTACAACTACACTACACAACAACTACAACCACACAACAACTACAGCTACAACTACAACTACAACAACAAAAACAACAACAACAACTACAACTACAACTACAACTACAACAACTACAACTACAACTACAACTACTACAACTACAACTACAACTACAACTACAAAACAACTAGTTACAACTATATGACTGCAACTACACTACACTAATTACATTACACCACAACTACAACTCCACTACGCTACAACTACAACTACAGTTGCAGTACATCACACTACATCCAGCAGTTGTGGGTGAGGTGACCGCTGCAACCATTCCAGCAAACACAACTCCAACCACCTTTCGGTCAATCAGTGGATTCGCTCTGCCATCCGTGATTCACAACAACGAACGTCTCCTATAGGTTTCCTATTCTGAAACTTCCGCCACCGCCTTGTGCGGTACTACTGCTATACTTGATAAATCTGTTTTTGTTCTTGCCGTAAATTGGGAAAACTCGAGAATTTTACTATTTTACTGGCTCACATCACCATGAATAATTTGTGTATTTGCTCAGGTAAACCGGGGACTATACCAACCAGCTCTGAATAAAATGATGTAAATGCAAGGCATCCAAAATGGTCCATTCATTTCTAGAAGGGTTTCAACGAAACGATTGTTTTCTCGAGTGCGGATGGAGCGGGTTCACTAAAAATATGGAAGGATGTTGTATCAAAAACAGAAACATCAATCAAGATCCAGATAGAAAAGATCATGGTAACATCCCCGAACATCTATGGGAGGTTTCGTTCACTGGGGAAACCATCTGGGTGATTTTCCAGCTAGCCATGTAGCTGATTACCGGACAGTTTTGTTGAGCCCCAGGCAAGGCAGCCCTGAAGAGGGCCCACTGGTTTGCAGTCTCTTGGCCAAGGACTTTTTCGCGACGGCGGAATCCATGTATTTCATGCCACAATATGTCACATGGTGTTTAACAGCAAAATCAACCACAAAGTGACGTTTCATGGTTTCTTCCATTGTGTTTTGGTGTCTTAAAAGCAACATCACCCACACGGATAAGTCCATAGAGGATTGCCCAGGTGAGATTTCTGGAGGTCGTCCAGTTGAATGGCACCCTGCCAAATCTGAGAGGAAACTCATCCAACCACCAACTCATAGCAGGATCCAACTGATGACCTTTTTGGTGGAGGTTTCTTAAGCCACTTTGGGGGATCCCCAGTGGTCACCGGCCGGGTTTCAATACTAAGTTATTGTAGTTATGGTCATCCATGACGACTGGATGATTTCAGGGCCCCATGACTTAGGAAAGCTCCAAATCTCACGCTTGCTGCAATCGTCGTGAAATCATTGCCACAAGGGGGAAACTTGTGGGCAGTTGGGGTTCCCAAGCTCCTGAAAGACGAGCTATCAAAGTTTTGAACAAAGCTGACCAAAATAGAACAATTACAAGATTGACCGGAATTGTTGTTTTGTTTCTTTTATTATGAGTGGTTCAGTGTGAAACTCACCATAGTTTACCTCACTGCATCTGACAACAAGGAATCCCCAGAAAAACGATGTTGTGATATTATAATTACATATAATTACAATATATTACAATTTTCCCCATCAACATAGCCATTTGTGAGAGGTATACCAGTATACCCATTCAATGGACAGTTTGTAATCTGCAGATAAACTCACCCAAACCCAAACAAGTGACACTATTCTTAATTGACCTTAATATTATACAATCATAGATAGATGGCCTATAGGCATGCGTTTAATCAACGATTGTGGCAAGCCCAAACTCATGTTGATGGCTTGTATCAACAAGGTCACCGTCCCCACATGGGATATCCCTATGGCCTTGGGTTTGCTTACCCTCTGGTAAACATACAAAAAGCTGTTCGAAATGACCATCTATAGTGGATTTTCCCGTTGAAAATGGAGATCTTCCATAGTTATGTGACAGTTTACCAGAGGGTACCACATCGATTGGTTTCCGTGGCTTCCGTGGCGTCCGATTTTCAGCGTCAGGAGTTGGAAGGAACTCGCTTCGAGCACTGCTGGATCTCGCAGGATGGGAAAGGCCGTTTGTTTTTTTCACAAAAACGACGCGGGATCATGGAGATACAATGGAAGATACCCCCTGGTAATTTAACATAGCTATTGAAAATTGCAATTTATAGTGAGTTTTCCCATTAAAAATTGTGATTTTCCATAGTTATGTTAGTTTACCAGAGGGTATTGGGGTAGAACCAAGGTGGATACCCTGGTGATTAGTGGATATTAATGGTGACCAATGATGGTTAATAATGGTGATTAATGGTGGCTAATGATGAATTCACTTACCCTCTAGTAATTTAACATAGCTATATATAGAAAATCACAATTTTTAATAGATAAACCATCTATAAATGGGCCATTTTCCATAGCTATCTTAGTTTACCAGAGGGTATATGATACAATGGGGGATATCAGGGGTATATTGGGGGATCCAGCTACTAAAGAAACTATCAAACAATGGAAAATGGGATAGATTGAAGCATCAAAAGTAGAATGTACATGAATGTACTGGGTGATCAATACTCGTCCATCAAGAAATTGTAAACGCTTTTGGATATTCAATGTCCGCAGCCACTGGTCGTTGGAATTCCGTATGTCCACGTATGCTCCGGAAATCAAACGTGGCAATGGGTTTATAGCTGGGAAAATCATCGCACTAAATGGTGGGTTTTCCAGCAAGCCATGTTTGAATGGTGATGGTTTAGTCATCTCATAAGCCAGCACCCGTTATTGTTTGATGAACATATCCACTCAGTGATCAACTTCAAGGTTCATGTGTGTATCGTTATTCCTTGCCTATACAAAAATTGCAACAAGTCACTGTGATAATTCAAGTCTACCATACCGGGAATGAAATGCTTTGATACATACATTCATATAGGATTACTGTATCTGTGGTCCGGCGTTTTCTCGTCATTGCAACATCGTTTTTGTCACCTTGCTTCGTCCCAACCACTTAGGATGAATCACAATAAACACCCATAATATCCCATAGTACTGTATCATCGCCATGCTTAGGATTTTCATAGGTTTGCTATGTTTTCCATAGGTTTTCCATAGGTTTGCTATAGATTACCCATAGATTTCCCCAGCCTTCCAATTTGCCCTGCGGGATCTCACGCCGCACGCCATCAGCACACCTTGGCGCAGGGCAGTACAGACTGGGCGAGGACAGCGGAACCGTACATACCACAATCAGATG